CTAATTCATTCTTGATATCCCATGATGCATGAATGTCAGCAAGCAGTTTTAAAATATACAGTGCACCGTTGCCTTTGAAGTGTTTTTGAGAGGACATAGAAAGGAACATAAATAAAAGCAGAAAGGATATGAAAACAGAAGTATATGTCCTTAAAAGGAAATCTGTTTGTTATTTTCTGGGATGTCAAAAAGTGATGGTCATATCAAATGGCAGCTTTATTTATTATTTTTTTATTATATAGCACTCAACTACCACAATTCCATGTTTATATATAATGTTGATAGTTGCTTCAGTAGTTTAGTAATGATCCCTTCTGTAGCTCACTAGAAGTACGCAATCACTCTCTGTTAAAAGATTATTGAAATGAACCAAAAAGGTAACAAGCAATCCGACATTTCTGATTTTATTAACAAATAAATGATTCTTTAACAGTATCTGTACTTCCTTAACTGTTTGTTTCAGCTCTGTGAAGACCGCACAGTACAGATCTATGCTGCAGGAGATGGCTGCGGGCTACTGATGATTAGCGCTTTCCAAAATAGCCTTAACTGTATCCTGGTTGTTGGATAAGCTTGACATAAAAGGGATTCTTTTATGCAGCCCATGTAATAAATATAAGATATGGTCTTACCACGAGCTGTTATCCAATCCAGTGCTTCACACTATAGGTAGCCTTGCCAAGAAAACAGTAAAAAAAAGTATTTGCTGACAGCAAATGGCTGAATGGACGCCCTCATGTCTGGAAGATTGAGACATAATTTATTATTTTTTTAATAAAGCTCCAGCAAGTTTGTGGTGTTATAAAATCTCAAAGAGTTACATATGCATTACGTGAAATATAACATAACATATGCATGAACACATACTTTAACGGAAATATCCACACATTTAAATATAATTTTATTATTGTACAGAGTATAAAATTACAGAATCTTTTGCAGGTTGCAGGGTGGAAGAGAATTTATTCTGACCCCTGTGTCCGTACACATTTCATGCGCTAACTCACAGCCTTTCTATTCAGTAGCAGTGCTGGTGCTTGCTTTAAATACATATATAATCAAAACAAATCTATATTCATATATTAAGTATCTCTAAGATATATAATATACAAATATCTATTTATCTTACTACTCTTCTTTTCCTCTCTATTGGTCACTTCTCATTTTGCCTGTGAATAAAATCAACATTTTAGTGGCTGTCCCCTAACCAGCAATCAGCAGGAGAGGTAGCACTGCCATGAAAAGCTGGGACGAGAAACTGGCAAAACTGAACCAGAGGTTCAGACTGTGAAGCCTTAGAGACAATTAAAGAAACTAGTGGTGCGGAATGTGACTATTCCTTTTTTGGCAGTACACATCCAAGTCGTGGTCCCCTATGTTGGCTGTATGCAGAGCCATCACAAGAGCAGTGTTTAACTTCATCTGGGGATCCAAGATGGACAGAGTGAAGCCCACCGTGATGTACCAGGAACTACACAAGGAGTACTGGATATTCCCACCTTGCTTTGGGCCTACTTTGTTTGCAACATAGTGTGCAGGTCCCTAAGTGACAATGTCAATAGCTCTGCTGGGAGCTCCATGATCTTTTTTTTTTCTCCAGCCCTGGTGAGGGCTAAGATGGGACAAGTGTGACAGCTGCATCCCTTAAATCTGGGTCACTCTATTTTTTTTGTTGTTTTTTGTAAATATATGTTTTATTTTTCATAGACAATAATAAGATACAGTACAGTGACTTGCAGCTGTTTTGTATGTTAAAGCATATTATACCATGCAGAGACTTGCAGGTCTCAGTGTTCCAAAGAGGCATTTGTGGTCAGTTGGACATGCAGGTCCCGGTTCATACACATGGTTGTAACACAGGCAATTAACATTGAAAAATGGGTGAGGCTGTTCAAAGACTTTCCCCGTGTAGTTGTGGTAGTATAGCCCATTATAATTTGGGAGATAGACCTCACTGTGTCTTCTAAGAACCCATCTAGACCTCATCGTGTCTTCTAAGAACCCATCTAGACCTCATCGTGTCTCCTAAGAACCCATCTTGTTAGGAGAGCTAGTATAAAGAGTCAAGCATTGGAGCGTCTGTTTGCCCATGTTAGATGTTTTCCTGGCTTATGTTTAGTGTTTATATTCTTTTTTAGTAAGGGTTTTATTGGGCGCTGCGCACAGTGAAGCCTTTTTTTTTTTATTACCAGCAATTACCATTGAAAGAAGGCAGCCACACAGAGCTGAGTTTATAATTAACCTAAAGGTGATTAAAGACTCCGAGGTCCACAAGCCAGTTACAAAGCAATTCATACTGGTTAGGTAACTGTACATTTTCAAGGGTTTGCCAAGTTCCTGTGAACTAAGTTCTCAATAGTGTTTAGCAGCGGCTGTGTCCAGGCCCCAGTCAGGTCAAATCCCTAGCCAAAAACCTAATCTACGTCCCTAGCCAAAAACCTAATCTTAACTTGCTGCTCCCTTGGGTTGGGTGTCCCATCAAAGATAGAGTTAGAGTGTTGGGGTAGATAGACCTCCTCCGCTCTCTCCTGTTTGGAAAGCGCCAAGTCCAGTCCAAGACCCCTAACCCGTACAGTCCCTGAAAGTCGGCCTGAAAGTCGGCCTGATAGGCAACCACCAGCAGGTGAGTCCATATGTCTGCATAAGCCTGGGTGTGTCCTTGAGCCATGAATGTCAGTTCTTCGAATCGTCGTAGCTCCTCCATTTCGAACCATAGTGTTAGAGAGGGAGGTGTCTCCTTCTTCCAGTAAAGGGGGACTACTTGTTTAGCTGTGTTTAGCATTCTAATGGACATTGATTTCTTGTATTGAGCTGTCGAGGTGGTGGTGTGGTGCAGGAGAAAAGGGACTGGTCGGAAGGGCAGGGATTGTCAGAGAATTTCTGGAGGATGGTATTAATTGCCGACCAGAAGTGTCTGATTTTAGGGCGTCAGGTTGTTGGGGCATCTGTCTAAGGAACCTGCTCATCTGTTCATATTTGAGGGTATGTAGAAAGGTCACTGTGGTTCCCCCGAGTAAGTCACCCAATTTCTTGAGCTCCTGTCCCCACATCATATGACAGACCTGGACCGGGCCATGAGGGAAGAAGCATGCGTACGGCCTGCCCTTTAGTCCTGGATGAAAGTCGGGGTTGTTGGTGATAGGGTACAGCGGAGACAGAATGATGAGAGGCCCAGTTTGGGTGCTATCCTATGCCACAGCTCCAAAGTGACATTAACACATGGTTGCTGGCCTGCTTGCATCCTACCAGCCCATGGGTTCGTCCATATCAGTGCTGGATGGGCCCCTCCCATCTGGGACTGGTCCACATCCTTGCATAGTTTGGTCACCCCCGGTTTGGCCCAATCCAGTACCCTCTGCAGGTGAGTTGCATGGTAATATAAAAGAAAATTGGGGCCATCTTAAATTCCAGATATAATTTATCATTAGTGTCCAGAGAGATGTGAAGCATGCGGTCGGGATCTGTATGGGGAACGTCTGGAATAGATATAGGATGCGTGGTAAGATGTTTATCTTCACCACTGCGATGCATCCCAACAGGAGATAAGCAGTAGTCTCCAATCCACCAGTTTCTTCCGGATCATGCTCCGTAGTGGTGGGAAGTCTGTTGTGTATAGTTGGGTGAGGTCCAGATGCCCAGGTACTTCAAAGCCCTATCCAACCATTGAAGTGGAAGTTTTTGCGCAGTCCTGCGGCTTTAGTTGTGGACTTGGTGATGTTGAGCAAGGTCAACTTAGAGTGGCAGATTTTGAAGTTGGAGAGTGTCCCGTAATAGTTGAATCTCCGTGTGATGTTTGGTAGCATAGTCTTGGGGGAAGTCAAGAAAAACATTAAGTCATCTTCGTATGCCACCACTTTATGTTCACTGTTCCCTGCTGTACCCCTCTTATCCCTGGGTTTCGTCTCACTGCCTGCAAAAGTGATTCAAGAACCAGGGCAAACAACGGCAGCCTTGGTGTGTGCCGCTTCGTATTTACAATGGTTCAGTGTAGGCCCCGTTGATGCAGACCCTCGCTGTGGTGTTGTTGTAAAGGGCTGCCACCCAGACGTGCATGTGTGTGCCCAGTCTGAGTGACCGTAACGTGTGGAAAAGGAAGTCCCAGCCCCCTGGGTTGAAGGCCTTCTCCGTGTCCGTGGATAGGAGGAGGCTCTTGTTGTTTCTTTGAGCCTGGTGTATTAGTATTCTTGCTTCCCGGTGGGGGATAAAACGAACCTGATCAGACTTCATGAGATCAGGTAAATATGGGTTCAGTCTGGTGGCCAGGATCATTGCAAACAGTTTTAAGTTGCAGTTCAACATTGAGATGGGCTGGTAACTGGCACATAGCTCCGGGTCCTTTCCCTCTTTAGGGATCAGAGATATGTTGGTCGCCATGGTTTGTGTGGCGGGCTTCTGTCCATCTGTGAGGGAATTGAATGTCTTCATGAACTGAGGGTATAGAGTGTCTGCGAATTGTTTATAATAGCATATGGTCAGTCCATCAGGGCCCGAGCTCTTGCCTGACTTGGTGGCCTTCACCACTGATGCCAGTTCCTCTATGGTCAAAGGTGTTTCTAGAGCCCTTTTGGCATTGGCCATCAGTTTCATGTGGATGCTAGCTTCCAAGTAAGCTTGAATTATATCCGCCACCTGAGTCAGTGGAAAGCGATCCTGGTCCGTCCCTGTTGAGTACAGAAATTTATAGTATGTGCGGGCCACCTTAGCAATCACGTCTGGCATCCGTTGTACTCGGAGCTCATGGTCCCGCAATTGGGCAAGGTAAGATTTTGATGTCTGCTTGTTGATCATTCGGGCAAGCAATATGCTGCATTTGTCACTGTGTATATAGAAGTGTGCCCTGGTGTGTTGGAGGGATCGTAGATGACCCTGGTGGAGGAGGGTTGACAGTTCACAACGTAGTGTGGCCAACTCCTGGAAGGTGATCAGGGTTGGGTGGGACTTATGTAGGGGTTCCAGTCTATGAATATCCTCAGTGAGCCTGTGTACCCTTTCCTCTCTTTCCCTTTTGATCCTAGCTCCCTGTTCCATGAAGAATCCCCAAATGGTGCACTTGTGTGCTTCCCAGACAGTTGGGGCAGGAACCTCTGGAGATGCGTTCTCTGAGAAATAGTTTGTCAGGGTAGTATGCGCGTCCTGTGAAACCACCGGGCTGTCAGAGAGCATCTTGTTCAGTCTCCGGTTAATTGTCTTGGGTCTGGAGAGTGGGGGCGACAAGTTTACTGATAGGCGGGCATGGTTGGTTCAGGTTATCAGGCCGTAGTTGGCCTTGCGTGCAGTATGGAGGAAGTAATAGGGGATGGGTTATGGAGTTATGGAGTAGTGGGAGTAATCCTTGCCATGTGGGTGTAGGGCCCTCCAGCAGTCTGTGAGCCTGTGTGTGTGTGTAAGAGGTTCCTGAACGTCTGGAGTTTGTATTCTGGTACCGTTGATGTGGAGAGTAGTCCATTAAAAATCGCCTTTAAAGTAGCGCACAGTTGTGCGTGAATGCCCTCAGAATCAGGGAGGCCCGATTATCCAAATCCTCCACATGAAGGATTAAGCCCCGCAAGTATTCTGCCTGGCAGTCGAACATCTCTGAGGTGATAGCCTGTTCCGCCTGTAGCATGTCACACGTGGACTCTAGGCAGCCCACATGGTTGTTTAGGCCCTGGAGGTCATCAAGGAGCACCTGGATGTCGGCTTTGATGGAGGCTGCTATTTGCAGCCGCCAAGTCAGCGCAAGTTGGCAAGGCTCGCAAAAGGGTCATCCAGTCCCCCTCCTCCAGCCTCGGTGATTGGTCTTCTAGTGAAAAGCGAGGTGAGTCGTCGCCCTGATCATCAGAAACCTCCTCTGACATGGCCTGGGATGCAAGATCTGCCAGCATGGAGAGATAATGGCGAAGTAAGAGACCCCTTTTTCAGTGCAGGAGCCTTCAGGGAGTTGGAGAGTCTGTGTGTTTTCCCCATTGTAAGCAAAATTCTGGGATTATCGCTTAAATTAATACGAATCAGTGGAATATTGTATAAATGTAACAAACAAGAGATCAAAAGGGAACCCACATGTAATATATAATGCAAGCCTTTTAAGGCTTCTCCTAAACTGCAGTATAATTTTCAAATAGAATAAAAATGAGGTGAAAGCAAACCAGTCAGCACTGCTACTAAAGAGAAAAAATCAAGTTAGGCTTTATTACAACTGGCCAGTCAGCACAGTGCTTACATAAAAATTCTGGTTCTACCTCTTATAGGTTGAAAGGGTGTTGATAAGTAGAGGTTACGGTTAAGCAATAAGAACATCAATAGATACCTGAAACAGAGTGTAAAGATATAAGATACAGCCTCTCACCCTTAAAATCTTACTAGATAGCTATAGGTAAAAAAAGAAATAAAGTGAAAAGATTACATCAACGTGATGCTGTCAAATGTGAACCAAAATGTGAGGTGAAGTGCCCATTAGAAATTATAATAATCCACTCATAGGAAACAACACAATGCGTGTTTTGGTACAAACCTATATGCACCTTTGTCAAGCCCCTGACACAGTGTTTACTGTGTTTCTTTTTTCTTCACAGACACTGTTTTTTTTCTTTTTACCATCCAATACTGCCAAAGGCTAATACACAGGATGCTCAGAGACTATAACACAGCCTTGGTCAAAAAGAGCACCGAGGGATAAGTCCCTCAGGACTCCTTGAGACTTGGAGGTAACTCAACCTAATACCCCATCGTTTAAAGGAGAGTATGTTCCCCCCATTTCCCCTTCCTCAATCCTATCAATTGTTTTATTGGAAAGGCATGGGTACATTATAGTACGTATGGTTGTTGGGCTGTATTTTGGCACTAATAAAGTTGTCATGCAAGTAGAGTGTCTAATATGGACTAATAACAATGTATAACATTTTTAAATTATGCTTGGTAATGCGCTGTTCCACTGGAACGTTTTGCCTGTTAAAGTGTGTGGAAGTACATATTTTTTTTCCCAAGAGAAGCTGTCCATGAGTGGTTATCTAGCTTTGCACCTCTTCTTGAGATGTGTTTCAAAGCTGTTTTATACAGCAGTCATAAACTCCAAGGAATCCATGTTTAAAGTGGAATAATGAAGCAAAAATTAGATCTTTGTTGAATATATTTGCATATACCCACTCAGAATCCCTTGCAGTAGTAACAGCACTGCAAACGGGAGATTTCTGTGGCTTGACTGGTGTGTGTGGATCTGTGTTTAACAATGTGTTGACTATATGTATATCAGTACATAAACATTTTTTAGGCGGTAGTGTAGAAAAGAGCTTTCTGAAAGAAATTAAAAGGAAGATAACAACTGACTTCCATATTACCGTATATACTCGAGTATAAGCCGACCCGAATATAAGCCGAGGCCCCTAATTTTACCCCCAAAAACTGGGAAAACGTATTGACTCGAGTATAAGACTAGGGTGGGAAATGCAGCAGCTACTGGTAAATTTCTAAATAAAATTAGATCCTAAAAAAATTATATTAATTGAATATTTATTTACAGTGTGTGTATATGATGAATGCAGTGTGTGTGTATGAGTATGCAGTGTGTATATGAGTGCAGTGTGTGTGTATGAGTGCAGTGTGTGTGTATGAGTGCAGTGTGTGTGTATGAATGCAGTGTGTGTGTGATGCAGTGTGTGTGTATGAATGCAGTGTGTGTGTGATGCAGTGTGTGTGTGATGCAGTGTGTGTGTGTGTGTGTGTGTGAGGCAGTGTGTGTTTGTGTTGCAGAGCCTTGGTGGGGGGTGGGCATTTTTATATAAAAAAAATAAATAATAATTAATATTATTATTTATTATTTTAATTTTTTGGATTATATTATTTTTTTAATTATTTTTTTATTATTATTTATATTTATATATTATTAATTAATATTATTTGAATTTTTTTTGTTATATTATTTTTTTATTATTATTATTATTTTTATTTTTATTTATAGTAATATATTATAAATTTATTTATTTTGTTGTCCCCCCTCCCTGCTTGATACATGGCAGGGAGGGGGGCTCTCCTTCCCTGGTGGTCCAGTGGCATTGGCAGTTCAGTGGGGGGAGGAGTGGGGCTGGCAGAGCTGTTACTTACCTCTCCTGCAGCTCCTCCTCCGCGCCGGTCCGTGCAGCTCTTCTGTCAGCTCACACTGTAAGTCTCACGAGAGCCGCACTATGACCCCGCGGCTCTCGCGAGACTTACACTGGGAGCTGACCGAGGTGCTGACCGGACCGGCGCGGAGGAGGAGCGAGCTGACAGGAACTGCAGGAGAGGTATGTAACAGCTCTGCCAGCCCCCAGTCTGTATTATGGCAATGTAAATTGCCATAATACAGACTGACTCGAGTATAAGCCGAGTTGGGGTTTTTCAGCACAAAAAAATGTGCCGAAAAACTCAGCTTATACTCGAGTATATACGGTACTCAACAACTGATTTAAATGTTAACATCGGGGGCTTTAAATCTGAGTCTGTTTAATAGAATCTCATGTAAACATGCCAGTGTTATATATTCAACATAATGTGAGTGTCTGAACTTCTTACATATAACATCCTTTATTTGCAGTCAAACAGGTGTTTCCAGTCTTTTAATGTATTGATAAACATAGCTACCAACAGTATTTCCAGAATGTAGGATTGTTTTATGGAAATGCAATTTGTATTTTCACTAGACATGTTTGTGCCTGTCTCCTTTGATGCACATACACACTGGCACATAGACACTATAAAATATCTAGAGATTCTTCTGCCACGAAAGATGTTTATTAAGTGCTACAGTGAAAATTGTAAAAAATACAACAAGGCGACTTTGTACTGTGTAAGTCTTTTAAGAAAGCTATTTTCTGATACCCTGATCATCCCCTTTATAAACTCACCAGGGGACTAGGGAATGTCTTGTAAATGGGTAGAGCAGAGTGGACACACACTGGTTACCACTCACCTTTTTCCCTATGGCTAGAAGAAAGAAGATGTAGGCCTAGGGCATCCCATGGACCAATATTATTATTATTTTAACATCTGTATGATCATTGCTCTAAATTAAGCCTTTGATGATAATTTCTGGTATTTAAAACCCCAGAAATTAAGGATTAAGCTGCAATATCTGAATATCCATAGAATTGTGCTTTCCTGAAGAAACAACAATTTCTGGAGACATTAACTTCCCTGAAATGTTTAAAAGTATAAAACTTTCACTTGAATGGGAAAACTCTAAATATGTACCACACCATTTATTGTTCAAGGCATTGGTGTCCAACCTTTTGGCAATCCGGGGCCACATTGAGTGAAGAGGAATTGTCTTGGGCCACACATAAAATATATAATAAAACTTCAAAAGACCTTTTCTTAATTTTCGTATTTGTTTAGCAGATCAATCCCTTATTTGTCATGCTTATGTGGGATTGCCATATTTAAGGATACCAAATTAGGGAGCTATCAACTAAACACATACACATGTATATACATATACACCTAACCAAAGATATACACACACATATAATCACAAACCTATACACATATACAATCATAGACCTACACATTCACACAATAACAGACATGCACAAGCACAATCACAGACCCACAAACGCACACAAACTATCACACACAATCACATATACACACACAATCACAGATATACACACAATCACAGATATACACACACACATTCACTGACCCACACACACACAATCACATACATACACACACATTATCAGATATTTCCCACACACAAAACCACACACATGCAATCACAGACACACAATCACATACACACATAATTACTGGCATACACCAAAAATCACATTCATACACACATATTTAGTAATTAAGAGATCCACCCAGCCTGTCTACCTTGCTCTTGGAAGGCTGGAGTGGATCCTCTTCCTGGTATCCAGTGGTTGCTGCTGTAATGGGATCACTGTACTCTTCCTGTACTGGTCCTTCGTGCGTACATGATTGGGGTCGATGCGAGGATGACATCATATTTCAGCTGCCAGTTCACTCCAGGGCACACGACGGAGCTGTGTAGAAAGAGCACAGTGATTAATGGGCTTCCTGCCTTCCTCACTGCCCGGTACCATGGACGGCAACTGGGCAGCATTACAAGCAGTGCAGGGCCGCGGGTTGGACATGCCTGTTTTAAGGCATTAGCATGGATCATTGTTATTGTTAAAAAAAAATAATATATATATATATATATATATATATATATATATATGTTGCTTGCTTAGGTTCAAAATTATTCTCAGTTTAAATATTTTT